CTTGGCTTATTACACTTAGCATGATTTCCTCCAGTTCTTCCCATGCGGTGATGTGCTTCGTGTGGTCATCACTGCTTTTTAGCGTTGCGTAGTACTCCATTGTATGTATATACCAGTTTTTTAAATCCATTTGTCTGTTGATGGAAATTTGGGTTGTTTCCAACTCCTTACAATTGTGAACTGTGCCGCAATGAACATTGGAGCACAAATGTCTGGCCTTGGTTTGTTTCTCGCCTCTTCTGGGTATATGCCCAGAAGGGGGTTGCTGGGTCATTTGGTAGCTCAATTTCCATCTGTTTTAGATATTGCCAAATCGATTTCCATAATGACTGTACATATCTCTACAGGTCCACCAGCAGTGGATGAGTGTTCCTATCTCACCACAGCCCTCCAACACTTGTTGCTTTCTGATTTTTTCAATTGGGCTGTCTTGAGGGTGTTAGGTGGTATCTCATTATTGTTTTAATTTGTATTTCTCTTATGGCTAGTGAACGGGAACATTTTCTCATATGTTTATTGGCCTTTCAGATTTCTGCCCTTGTGAAACTTCTGTTCAGGTCCTTTGCCCACCTCCTCAGTGGACAATTAGTTTTTTTCTTTTTGGAAGCTAGCAGAGTATTATAGATTTTAGTAATAAGACTTTTGTCTGATGTGTCATTGCTAAAGATGTTTTCCCAGTGCTCTTATTATTCTCTTCGTGAATTCTTTCCATGTGCATAGGTGTTGTTTTATCTTCAGTATATCCCACTTGTCAAATTGTGCCCCCTCTGTGTTTGTATCCTTCCCTATTTCTGATAGCCTATGCATTCCCTGCACCAATGTTCTCAGGTTTGTCTCAATTCCCTCATCGATGGCCCTAATAGTTTGGGATTGTACCTCAAGGTCTGTGATCCACCTTGAGTTTATTCTTACGCATGGAGTGAGATAAGAGTCTTGCTTTATTTTTCTGCAGGTAAATATCCATTTTTTCCAGCCCTACTTGTTGAAGAGGGTATCTGCTTCCCATTGGATATTTTTGGGGCCCTTATCAAAGATCTGTTGTCTGTATGCTGATGATTTTATTTCTGGGTTTTCAGTTCTTTTCCATTGGTCTGAGTATCTGTCATTATACCCATCCCATGTGTTTTTGACCAGTGTGGCTGTATAATATGCGCTAAAGTCAGGGAAAGCAAGCCCTCCCACTGTGTCCTTCTTCTTGAGGAGTTCTCTGCTAGTTCTGGGCTTCTTCCCTCTCCATATGAAATTGGTAAACAGTTTTCCCATTTCTTTGAAGAAAGATGAGGGTAATTGTATCGGGATTGCATTAAACTTACGTAGTGCCTTGGGCAAAACTGACATCTTTACTATATTGAGTCTTCCAATCCACGAGTATGGGATATTCTTCCATTTGTTGAGGTCACTCTTGATTTCTTGTAATAGTGTTCTGTAGTGTTCCTCATATAAATATTTTGTTCTTTTAGTCAGGTATATCCCTAGATATTTCAGTTTGTGCTTGGCTGTTGTGAAGGGTACCAACTTTTTTATATCCTCTTCTGTGGTCTTATCTGATGTATATAGCAGTTTGATAGACTACTGTTTGTTGATCTTGCATCCTGCCACTCTGCCATATTCCTCTGTTGTTTCCAGTACTCCCCTTGTGGGGCTTTTGGGATATTCCATATATAAAATCATATAATCTGCGAATAATAATAGTTTTACCTCTTCCTCAGGTGAATCCCTTTGATGTCTTTTCTTTGCCTTAATCTGTTAGCTAAAACCTTCAACACGACGTTAAATAAGAGTGGGGACAAGGGGCATCCTTGTCTGGTCCTGTGTCTGGTATTTCACTAATACTTTATACCTAACTTTATACTTAAAGGGCCCTGGTGGCCCTGTAGGATAAGCTTTGAGTTGCTAACTACCAGCTCAAACTCACCAGCTGCTTCCTGGGAGAAAGATGAGGCAGTCTGCTTTCATAAAAATGTATAGCCTCATCAGTGTAGGTGGTCACCCAAGGGGGATGATTCATAATGTTCTGTAACATAAAATGAAAATGATGTCTCTAAGGTGAACCAAAGACATGTGTAAACTATGGATGCATGACTGGATTTTTGGCTTGTACTTAATTCTAGCCCTAATCTAAGAATAACTAGTTTTTATGACATGGCCCTGCTTGATGCTCACCCTCTTGAAGAGATCACTGAAGATACGGGTGCTAAAGCAAAGTGTGGTGAAGAAACCACATGGTTCCTGACTATCAGAAAGAATAGTGTCTGGGCTCTTAAGACTTGTTTTTAAATGAGCAACTGTCGATGTGAGTTGTCAACCAAGTCCATGTGGAAGAAACACACGGGCCTGTGTGATCCAAGGATTGTAAATTATATAATCCAATTCCAAAGGAGGGAATGATGTAAGAGCTGAAATTGTAAACACCTTTATTTGCAGAAGACTTAGATGACAGTGGAAGCCGTAAACCCATTTGCAGGGTGTACACATGCATTAAATCTCTGGTGAATATCCTCTGATCATAGTTGAGGGTTGTGAATAGCCAGACAAGAGAGCATTGTAAAGTCAATTATGGCAGACATAGTTAGGTTAAAAGATAATATCTTATCATTTGATTTCCCTTTTGACCTATTTTAAAGCTGTTTCGGTTTTCAGAAAATGTTTTTCTGTATATGAAATCCAGGGTAGATAAATCTATAGAGATAGCAACTGGATCATTGATTGCTTAGAGGTGTGGCAGGGGAAGTAGGGGAAATGGAGAACTAATAACGATGAGGACAAGAATGAAGAAAGAGTTATAAAACTGATGGTGGTGATGATTGACAACTCTCCTTTATGTGACTGAACTATTAGATGGTGTGATATGTGAATTGTATGCTAATAAAACTGTTAGAGGCAAAAAAAGCCTCAGAATTCCCTAGTTTAGGTGTTTGTAGTGTGAATGTGATGAGTTGAGATAAATTCTTAAAAAAATGAGAATCATGCTAAACATATAGCCCATTGAGTGTGTTTTCCTCCCCTGCCTTTCCAGGGCTGACTTTTTTGAAGAGGAGGCAGTTGAACAGGTTTTGAAGTATAAGCCTTGGTGGACTGATCTATATTCAAACATGACGGCGTCTGCGGGGGAGAACCAGGAGCAAGAAAAGCATGGTGCGCCAGGTAAGAGACTCACTTGACTAATTTTAAAAACTGCGGAGTTCCAAGTTTACTTCCCTTTATTTAGCCATCGTACGGTAGTGATCAACTCATAAAGTGATCACCTGATTCGTACTTGCTCATTTTGGAAATGCCGTTCTCTGACACACTATTTCTGGGAAATTCTTTTAAAGTACTCTTTTCCTTTTGAATCATTGGAATCCTTTTACTTTTTTTGGGGGGTGGGGCTAAATTTAGGGATAGGCGCAGTTATTGAATGCTCTTGGGAGATTTGCACATTCCTCCATGGTAAGGACATTTGAGTATTCGTGATAATGGGGGGAAAACCCATCTCATTTGCTTTGCTTGGTTAATGAATTTGCATTGTACTCCCCGCATTTGGCTTTCTGAGTAAGCAAGGATAATTATCAACAGGTATTCAGAGAGAGCAGGTGGACCGACTTTTACTGATGAACGCTGAGCTGGGCCTTTTCTGAACCATGTTTATCATTAAACCAAATATTACCCAAAGATTCCTTTCTAAGGTGTTCATTTTATTATCACCCCCTCTAAGTATAAGGCTGTTGGATCAAACTTTTTTTTTAAATCACACTTATAAATGACAAATATAGCAGGTTCAGATAGATAAGAAGACCTACTTTTTCTGTCGTTACATTAATATACCTTTAGATACTAATGCAATTTTAGTGTTTAAGTGAAAGGAGTGTGCACGCACTGAGACACATATGTGCACATACACGCACACATGCTTTCTGAAGGATATTATAGGGTCTCCTTCAGATCTCTCCACTCCAAATTCCTCTTCCTGAATGGCTACTGCTAACACGTTTGAGCTACTTTTCAATGCTTATTGTTGTCGTTAGCTGCCATTGAGTTGGTCCCGGGCCCATGGTGCCCGGGGGCCCACCCCACCCCCCCTGCTGCCTGGTCCTGTGTCACACCTGTGATTGGTTTCAGATCAGACTGCTGTTTGTTGACTGCTTTTGCGAAGAGAGATCCACGGTTGGTGGCCACCTGGGCTGTTGACTAACAGCTGGCACTGGCGCCCTCACAGTGTGCTAGGAGAAATCACACCATGGCCATCGACTGCTCAGGCAGAGCAACTGCAGGTTCTCTTTGATTCTCTGCACTGCAATGATCACTCTCTAAAAATTTTTGATTTTCATTTTTTGTGTGTGAATTCCCAGGGATGAAATGTCTCCAAAGGCAGAGAGCTTGTTTGGCTTGTTGTCTGCTGTGTCTTCAGTGTCCAGCAGTAGTGCTGTTACATGATGCCCCAAACCAACTCACTGCCCTGGGGTGGATTCCCCCTCAGGACAACCCAGAGCACATTAGCAGAACTGCCCTTGTGGGTTCTGAGGCTACAAATCTTTATGTGAGAAGAAAGCTCATCTTTCTCCCAGATGATACATGATAGATATTCAACAAATATTTATGCAGTAAATAAATACTGTGATACACAATCTTTGTGGTTAGACTTGCTATCGCCTAGATCATCCAGAAAATTAAATTAGCTCTAAGGTAGAGAAGAAACTCATTTATGACTTATATTTGTTCCGACCAGAACATGCATTTTATTTCTGATTCCAGTTTAGTAATTTTCCAGCAACTTCACACATTCTCTACACACATTTTTAGGTGTAGAGTGGTATAAAAAGCTTATTCATTCTTGAAGTCATCAATGATATCAACCTGGCTGAATCAGGTTCCCCAACAGTTTCTAGGGTAATAGTTTTTTTGCAGTTTGGGTGCAAGTTTACAGAGGAAATTAGTTTTCTGTTCAGCAGTTTATACTTCAGTGTTTTGTTTTGTGACACTGATTACAATCCCTCTGTAATAATCACTTTCCCTACTCCTTCCGGGTTCTGTTTGTGTCCCACTCTCCTTTCCTTCTTATTGCCTTTTGAGCGTTGTTTTGGGGCCATTGCTGCCTCCACACCGGGGTGTGCCTCCGTGGTGTTTTGTTCCTGTTACGGGATTGTCAGTTGTTTGACTGAAGGTTAACATACTGAAGTGAGTGCAGGATCAGGTTTGCCTAATGAGGTGGTGTGGGAGGGAATTGGTGGCTGTGTAGTTGAGTTTTCCATCCACAAGGGTGAGCTAGTCGCCCTACAAATCAAGTTAGAGCTGTAGGTAGTTCTCATTTTTGCTTTTTCATATTATAGCTCTTGCTGCCGGTTTTCTGGGCATCATTTTAACAGGACATAGAGCCACTCCGTCCTTTTGCCCACTCCTGACCTGCCATCTCTGCTGTGGCATACCTCCAGATTGTTGCTTTAGAAACTGTCAGTGAAATGATGTTAGTGATTCTAATAATCTGCTTGAAAAGCAGCATTGGCACATGATCTAAGGTAGAACTACTTGCAATCTGTAATGGACAGAACCCACTGCTGTCAAGGACAGAGCACAGCCCCATACTGGTTCCAAGGCAGTAATGTCAATGGACACTGGCCGCACCTCTTTCTCCCATGACATGCCCGGTGAGTCCGACCACTGACCTTTTGGTTAGCACAGCAAAGGTCTTGGGCACTGCACGGACAGCAGTTCTTCTAAGTACGCGCAGTATGTGACTCAACCAAACTACTGCCTTGTGTTGATTCTGGCTCATAGCGACCCTATAGGGTTTCTGAGACTGTAGACCTCTCTGGGAGTAGACGGCCTGCTCTTTCCTCTGCAGAGGGGATGGTGGGTTTGAACTTCTTGCCTTGTGGTTAGCAGTTCGGTGCTTATTCCACAAAGCAAACACAGATCCTTGAGATTGGGCTAAGTATAGGATATTAGCTAAATCTGGCACTCAGAGTTTAACTCCTTGCTGTGCCACAGACTAGTGTGTGATCTCACAACCCCTATGCGTTGCTGTAGAAATCCTGTAATGCCTACTGCGTAGAGCCATTGTGGTGAGGCTTAAATGAGGTGCTGTACTTAAAATCCTAAGCATATTGTAAACTCAGTGGTCGGAGGGCCAGGCCTCAAAGGGCTTCTCTGTGAAATTACAATTCTTTACACTGGCAAAGTTTCTAAGTGAAAATTTTCTCTTTTTTTCAGTGAAATTTCTTAATGAGATTTTTCACCTTTTTTTTCTTGTTCGAATATTTGAGACACCCAGAATTGGAGGAAGACATTGAAGTGTGCTGAAGGATAAAATACATATTCCCAGAATAAGATCTGAGAGAAAAGGAATAGGCCATAACATTCCCCCTTTCCCCCAGGAGCACGATGCTGCCGCATCTTCTCTTTTCCTGGTTCTTCCTTGCCTTTCGCTTAGAGCAGAGCGGAGTGGCCTCCTCACATTCACCTGGGGCCTCCCGGATATCACAGTGCAGGGGAAGGGTGGATTGTAATTCCTCCTTAGCCGGGTTTGCTTTGAATTCCAGACTCTTTAGGTGGTGAATTTTCTTCCCTATCTTTGCCTCCGATATGATTCACACAGCCCTGTGCTGTAACCCCAAGACTTTTATTAACATCTCCCGCCTTCTTACAATCTTTGCTCCCCACAGGCTTGTAAATGGAAGTGCTAACTGCTGCACTCCCACGGAGCTCTGGAGGGGGGCTCACCACTTTCCCAGGCTGTCTGTCAGTGGCTAATCTGAGCCCCAGAATTTAGGCACTCGGCTGCTTGTTATGACACCATGCAGCATTTAGAATCACTGAACCTGCGAACAGGGACATCCTGCTTGGCACCACTGAGCCCCTCTGTGTCTGTAGAGTAGTTGTCAGTGTCAGCTCTGAAAGTTGTCGCTGCACGGGCTGCCCGGTCACTGAAGATGTAAATATAACACGTGGCCTCAGGTTCCCTAGACAGAAGCGAGTGCACACTGGCAGAGATTTGCATTATTCTGAGGGGACCCTGGGTGTGACTGGCTTGTTGACCCAGAGAAGATAGGAATGTGTGTGTAGGAATATATAAAAGTAGTCCAACTGGAAAATACCCAGGAAAGAGGAAGACCTCTGACTGACCCTTAGGCATTCTGCTGGGAGCCCCTTTGACGTTCTGTGAGGTGCTGATGAAATTTTAATGTTGCACAGTCGTCCTGAGCCATTTGATTCAATGCGAGGAACAGCTTCCTTCCCAAATGAATTGCGTGTTCAGCTGGCTTTTGTTTCACTGTGGCTTGTTTTCAGAAATATAATTAACTGAAATGTAGTGAACTACATAGCAAAGCTGCTTTGTAGTGTAGCTAAGTCATACAAACGCTTGACAAATGTTGTTCAGGGTGGCAGTCACCCAAGTCTTGTTGCTGCTGCATCGCTGCTTAGTTCAGGGGCTGCTGCTCCGTGAGACCTGGTGCACAGACCTCCCCGAGGCCGCCGGGAGGGTGGTGGTGCGATTTACAACTCTAACACAAAGCCGTGGGAGCTCCGACTTTGGGCTCTTAGATTGTTGTGGGCTCTTTCTACTTCCTCAGTGTCTTCGCTCATATTTAGATTCGGACTCTGTGTATAAGCAATGAACAAAGTAGGCAACACAGCACACAAGACCCCTCACTCAGCCAAGGGTGACGGCGTCCTGACGGAAAGCCCAGGGCTGCCTAACTGGCTCCAGTGCAGTGCTCTCGGCAGGCTTCGGTCATCACACATGACCTGGGAGAGGTCCACAATGTAACATCACCTCCTGCCCTTCTCAGATCAGCCTTTACGCACGATTAAGTGTGAGAGTGGAGGAGTAGACACAAGCCGACGTGTTGTTAAATGGTTACAGGCACACTTCCTTGGTGATCTACAGTGATGTAAAAGCAGAGATCATTATTAGTCAGCTAGGATATAAACCCTTTACTCTGGTGAGAAAATATCATCAGGAACACCTGGCACTACCCTATTAGCTAAATTGATGAACATCTCAAAAGTATGCTGAAGGGAGTAGTCTGTCTCTAAACCTTCTTGCTAAATACAAGGGGCAGGGGGCCTTTAAAATACCTTGTCATGTGTATTTCATGCCTTGAGAATGTTATTGAACTGCTTCCTTAAAATGCATCACTTAAAAGTGGACTGAAAGCCTTTGCTTA